GAGCACTGCCCCTGGTCCTGGCCCTCCTTCAGCCCCTGAGACCTTGGGGACACGAGGAGAGGAAGAGCATGTCTCTCACCAGTGCCAGCCTGGAAGGAGTCAGGACCTGAGACTACGGGCGGCCTGCTGCCCCTGAGCTGGGGACACTCAGGGCTCAGGATGGCAGGGCAGGATGGCAGGGGCCTGGGGTCACCCTCTCCGTGCTCCTTACCCTGCTGCAGGGTCTGGGGACCCAAGGCCCCCAGACACTCCTGCACCCCTTGAGTTGGGGGCTGCCTGGGGCCCTTGGGAGGTCCCCATGAGAGGGGCGCCCCATCCGACTCTTCCCTCTGCTCCCTGCCCCTCACCACAGGGTTCAGTTGATGTGGGCGGTGGTGACTGGCCAGCTGAGCCGGCTCCAGTGCGAGGGCAGAGCCGCAAGGAGGGTCCTGCTGGCTTCTGCCACCAGCACCAGTGGGCACCAGGGCCTGGGGACACTGGATTGGGGGTAGGTGATCTTGATCTAGCTTCACTGCAGCCAGGGGAAGCAGGGTGGCCTGGTGCCTTGGTGGCTAACCAGCTTCCCACAGCAGAAGCTGGCCTCCTCTCAAGGAGACGAAAACCCAGTGGAAAGGACAGGAAGTTACCCTCATCTGTCGGTAGATCCAGTCTGTGAACACCGTCATGTTTCCGTACACTCCGGGCCTGTTAGGCTTGGCACACCCGGATCCCCAGCTCGTGTCCCCAATCAACCACCAGACTTCATTCTTCAAAGTGACCAGCGGCCCTCCACTGTCCCCCTGGGGGACACAACAAGTTACCGAGAGTAGAAAAGCTAGTTGCAACCCTCAGCCCATCTCAGAGCACCTAGAGGGCGCGGGGTCCGGGGTTAGGAGTCGGGGCACCATCCGCCCTCCACCCCGGGGAGGCAGGCTGCGGCAGCAATGGACGCCCAGCTCAGCGTGGCCAAGAGGCCGGCTGTCTGTGGTTTAAGTCAGCACACTCCCTCCTGCTGCCCGGGACGTCCCCAGGGAAGGGCTCTTTCCCAGGAAGCCGAGCGCAGGAGGCTCTCATGCTGTTGGTGACCACCAGTCCCCACAGCTGCCCCAGAGCGGTATCAGCAGGAGGCTTCACAGAGCCCGGCAGAGCATGGACCCTCACAAGGGATCGGCAGGAAGTGGCGAGGCTCAGAGTTGAAGAGAAACTGGCGATTACCTGGCAGGAGTCGATGCTGCCCTGCAGGTACCCGGCACAGATCATGGCCGGCGTGATGAGGTTATTGTAGACATATTTGCTGTTGCAGCGTGAGTGCTCAATGAGGTACACCATCGCAGCGTTCAGCACGTCCGAGGTCTTCCCTAAGGACAGAGTCAGGGACCAGAGGCTCTCAAGGGCGAGTGGATGTCCTTCCCTGAGGCCATGCCTGCTGTCCCCTCCCTCTGCCCATCCTGGTCCCAAGCATGGCGTGCTAGGTAGGGTCAGTGTGGTTTTCCCCATTAAGATGGGGAAACTGAGGCACAAAGCCAGGTGAACTGCCTCAGATCATCAACCACTGAAGAGCAGAACTGAGACTCAAACCAACTGCCCACGCCTTGCCCGGCGCTGCCCCCACGCCCCGCTGGCCTGCATGCCCCGAGCCTTACCTTTCTCATAGGTGGCCCCCCACCCAGAGATCCAGCACGGCTGTTGTGCCTCCAGCATCATGCCAGGATTGGGCAGGCACACGGGCTTCACCCTGTCTGTGCCAAGAGGAGGAAACCATGAGCCCTGGGAGTCCAGCAGTGGCCTCAGGCAAGAGACTGCGCCTGGCCCGGCCCTGTGCAGAGGCAGCCCCCCCCTGCCCCGAGAACCCCGGATGCCTATGTGCCTTGACACCCCCACTGTGTGCCCTGGCAGGCCCCTCTTTCTAACAGGCGAGAAGTTCCCCTCTGAATCCTGGCTCCTGGTGGGCTCCCCTGTGAGAGCCCTTTCCCACCTTGAAGGCAAGTTCTTCATGGGGAGGGGGAGGCCCTGCTTCATCTGCACCCACGTGGGGCTAGAACATTCCAGACCTTCGCATAGACTAGTGCGGGGGCCAAACAGGAAGCTGAGGGGACGCGCTGGTGTAACCCGTGATTCTAAAGGACATCACTCCCTGAGTGTACATGGGGAATAGAGCTCTCTTTAGAAATTGCAAGCCTCATGCTCCCAGCTGGAGGTGATTCCATCCCGGCAATGTCTGGAGACAGCTTTGATTGTCTCGACTAGTGGATGCTACTGACCTCTAGTGGGCAGAGGACAGGGACGCTGCTAAACGTCCTGCAAGGGGCAAGCAGCTGCACATCAACGAGGAGCAAATCTGGCCATCCCTGCTTCCCTTCCCTACTCCAGGGCACTCCTGGCCTCTGCCAAGCCCTCCTCTAGCAGCGCCAATCCGTTCAGTGCCAATCTGTCTTCCCTGGCCACGCATCTCGCTAACAACCAGCATCTCTCTCTTTACAACCTGGCCCAGCACCACTGAACCTCAGCATCACCCCGGCCACACGTACCATTGAACGTCAGCGGTGCCTGCAACTTCATAAGCGCAACATCGTTGTTCTTGGTCTTAGAGTCATAATTGGGGTGAGAGATCACTTTCTCGACCCGGTATCCACTTCCATAGAGCATGGAGGACTGTCTCAGAAGGCCTGCGAACACCGTCCAGTACCGCGGGCTGTTGAGAGGCCTGGGAGACAGAGGCACAGCACACAATGTCTCACCCCGCGCCAGACGGTCTTTGCAAACTACGAGCTGGAGCGTTCCACCTATCACCCCCCCACACACGTGCCCCTCTTTCTGCCTCCAGCTGAGGACTCTGGCTGCTGTGGCCGCTGCACTGGCCCACAAATGGGCCCTGAATCTGCCCTAAAGTTGCAAACCCTGTTTCTGGCAGGACTGGGTCCTATTAACCTTCAAATGTCAGGTCACTTCCTGGTAGACAGCAGGTACTCAAATATAAGTATGCTAATAAACACACTTGGACTCTAATAATAATCGAGACCTTCCCTTTATCCACGGATTTTATTTGGGATCTGAGGGCCCCCAACTGCTAGAGAGCTCTCAGGATCCAGGGGCCTGAAGGGAGAGGCAGAAGGGGACACTCCTGGGCGAGACATGGACACTCCCTGCAGCTTTACAGCAGCCCCCATAGAGCAGGGCACACCTGTGTGATAGGTGCAGACCATGTAGGTCAGAAACACTGAGTGACCCGTCCTAGTCACACAGCCAGAGGACGGCCAGGCCAGGAGTGAGGCTTCCTGCAACACAGGCGGGTGCCAAAGTAGACGCTAAGAAAAGGAAGCGGGAGGGGGCAGTACCTTCCACAACCCCCACGCACCCACCCCTCCCTGCCCATCTGCATGGGCACGAGGTCCCCAGTGCATCTGAGGGCTTCTCCTGGCACCAGCATCCGGGAGAGGGGAGGCCCGAGAGCAGAGGCCCAGAAGGGTAGGGCAGGGCAGGAGGGAGGCTGCAGGGACCAGGTCACAGCCATGAGCACAAGCCACCCTGGCTGGGTCACAGGGCCAGGGCCAGGCGAGCAGGGGCACTCCGCACAAACCTGCTGAGAGTGGACTGGCCTACCCACACTCAGCCATGCTTCTGGCTGAGAGCTGTAACAGTCTGCCCAGGGCTCGTGGTTCCTCCTCTTGGCACAGACAGGGTGAAGCACATAGGGTGAAGCCCGTGAGCCCCACTCGCCTGTGGATACCAAGGCCTTGGAGCTTCACAGCCCTGAATAAGGCCACAGAGTCTCACTCCAAACCCAGGGTCCTTGCCACCCCCACCACCCGACCTCGAGGGACGTGGACATACTCCTCCACGCAGTGGGCAGCGGTCACAATCCACTCAGGGGTGATGATGGAGCCTCCGCAGACGTGGACGCCTTGGACGTGCAGGCTGACCTGCCAGGGCCAGTCGCCCAGGTTGGCGTTGGATCCACCCACGATCCTGCTCTGGCGCCGCAGAAAGGGGCCACCACACTCTGGGGACAAGCGAACGTCAGCTGGAAGCCAGCCCAGCAGGAGCCACCCAGAACCCGGCCCCCAGCCCAATCCTGAGGGCACAGGGCTCCCACCCAGGGATTCATCAGGCAGGGCAGTCGGCAGGACGGCCCCCTCGCATTCCCCTGCATTAGGGGTCCAACGAGAGGTGTCACAGTGTGCCCTGGTAGAAGGGAGAGCTCCCGACTCTGCAGAAGTCCCCAAGTAGGAGGAGAGTGAGGAGGGGAGTGAGGAGGTGAGTGAGGAGGAGAGTGAGGAGGAGAGTGAGGGGGAGAGTGAGGGGGAGAGTGAGGAGGGAGTGAGGAAGAGAGTGAGGAGG